CTATGTACTCTGGCTCTCTCATCTGCAAATAGGGATACTAGTAGATCCAACTCATGGTTAATGAGTTAATGTATGCAATTCTGGGATTAGGAACTGACTACGAAAAAGTAATATTTGTTACTTCTATTCTTCAACTTCTTCAAAAATTTGACACAACTACTATAAGCAGAGGGCAGAAGTTGAGGCCTAAGTATATTGGGGGAATTTTCAGTGAATTAATAGCCTATAAAATTGATGCTTATTAAATATTATTCTACATTTTTCCTTTACAGGCTTCTATGAAAATTAGTTGAATAAAATGTCAATGCCCTCTGACAATTTAATGTATGAATACAAGGCTCACACTATTAGAACGAGAAAATAAATTAAAGATCTTAAGTGCAACATGTAGTCCATCTGTTCAGAAGTCTGTAAAGGTTCATAGGAGGATTGCTACCCACCTGGATTTTCTTCCAGTGTCAGAGCATCTTAGATGTAGAGAGAAGGATCTTCTAGCTCCTTTAAGACTGTTGTATCTGGTGGTACCAAGTGCTAATGTATACACTGGCCATTCCTTGATGGGTTCTTTAATTAATGCTTAATAATGACTCAATGACTTAAGCATTTACTATGAATGATGATAATTATATGAAAGCTCTTTAAAAAGAATTACTGATATTGGATTTCAACCTGCCAAAGATTAAAACTAGACCCATACCTATCACCATGCACTAAACTAAGATCAAAGTGGATTAAAGATCTAAATATTAAGACAGAAACACTAAACTTGCTGGAAGATAAGTTAGGTAAAACTCTTGAAGACATTGGCATGGGAAAAGACTTTATGAACAAAACCTCAGTAGCATGGGAACTAGCACAAAGAATCAACAACTGGGATCTCATCTTATTAAAAAGCTTCTGCACTCCAAGAGAAACAACCAACAGAGCTAAGAGATAACCTACAATGTGGGAAAATTTTTTTAGCAGCTGTACCTTAGACAAAGGAGTACTATCTAGAATATATAAAGAACTGAAAAAAATCAGACCCCCCAATTCAAAGACCCAATTCAAAAATGGGCATCTGAAATGAACAGACATTTCTCAGACAAAGAAGTAAAAGCAGCAAATAAATATATGAAAAAATGTTCCACATCACTGGTCATTTGAGAGATGCAGATGAAAACAATGCTGAGATTCCACCTCACCCCAGAAAGAATGGCTGCTATCAAGAAATCATCCAATAACAAATGCTGGCAGGGGTGTGGGGAGAAAGGAACCCTTCTCTATTGTTGATGAGAGTGCAGACTGGTGCAACCACTGTGGAAATCAGTATGGAGGTACCTCAAAGTACTAGGGCTAGAGGTCCCATTTGACCCAGCTATTCCCCTGCTGAGTATCTTCCCAAAAGAATTAAAAGAATCATACCACAGAGAAATATGTGCACCCATGTACATAGCAGCACAGTTCATAATAACTAAAGCTTGGAAGCAGCCCAAGTGCCCATCAACTGGAAACTGGATAAAGAAGATGTGGTTTTTTATAAAATGGAGTACTACTCAGCCATAAAGAGCGAGAAACTAGAGATATTTATAGCTAAATGGATGCATATTGAGGCCATACTCTTAAGTGAAATAAATAGGACACACATGTGTAAATACTGAATAGTTTCTCTAGTGTGAGAAACTGAAAGTGTAAATAAGGTTTAAAATGATTAAAATGAATAACTGATAATTTGAAATATTAAAAGGTCCAAAGGTGTAGGGGTGGTGTGAAGGGAAGGGGAAAGGAAAGGAGGGAAAGGAAAAATTTTGAGAAAAGAAAAAAAATAGAAACAAAGTCTATGTAAATAGGGAAGGGTGGAGGGAGTGAAGGACACCCAGATAATGGGGAAAAAAATAAGAACCAAGATATATCATGCACAGATACAAGCGCCCAATGATAAATGTAAATGTGTTTACCTTAAATGTACCAATAAAAGAATTTAAGGAAAAAAAAGAATTATAGATATTTATAATACACTTATAAAGGAAGATTCATATTACATGGAAGTAACTAAAATCATGAGTCTCAAAACCAGACCATCCTGGATTCAAAGTCAGTTTCCACCCATTATCAAATGTGAACTTGAGAAGCAGACATAATCTCTGGACCCCTGTTTACTTAGGCATTAAAACAATACTAATTGGAGCAGAATCAATCACTCAGTCATACATTTGACAGGCATTTATTCAAAAGGTACTATGTGCCAGCTAGTGTTGGTATTGTTAACATAGATTTAAAATCCTGTTGTGATGAGCTTTTATTGAACGTGTCAAAATCAAGCATTTAGTAAAAAGTGTTGTACATTAAGCTTTCAAACAGTATTAGATATCATTGCCATTAATGGATGATGATGACAATGACTTTGGACACCAGTGCCTCATTATGGAATTGGTAATAATGCTGAACTGTATTTGGAAAAATATTTCTGGTCCACGGCTCTTATCCCATGCTCCCTGTGTTGGCCATGTCCCATGAGTGATCTGAACAGGAATTTGTAATTCTTGATTGGGGGTATTTATTGCTATGACTCAGTATTTGCTCATGCACTTATTTAGTGAATAAGTAGAAAAAGAAATGGTTACTCATTAATTGTTATGAAAGGATTAAATTCCTTTGTATATGCTGACAATGTTTGTATTCAGTTAATGGCCATTACATGGATTAACTAAAATATTATATTCTTTGAAGGATAAAATTCAATGCCTGAATGAAATGTATGCAGAATTATCAGAATTTACAGATGATATATATGTTTGTGTGTTACTTACAAAATAGTCCCTCCTTATCTATAGCTTTGCTTTCTGTGGTTGTAGTTATCCTTGATGAACTGTGATTTGAAAATATTAAATGGAAAATTCCAGAAATGATTCATGAGTTTTAAACCAATACCATTGAGTAGTGTAACAAAATTTCATGCTGTCCTGCTCCAAGCTGCCTGATGTGAATCAGCCCTTTTACCAACATGTGCATACTGTAAGAGAATGATCAAAATATAGGGTAGTATTTCCATTAAAATATTTATTACAGTACAAGACACATTAATCTCCCTCAAGATGCTCCCAACTCTTCAAACACACATTCCATCATTCTTGCCACTTTCTGAAGCAATTTCAAAGGTCCTCTCCCCTGAGTGGCTTTAGGAGGTGTGATCATAAGTTCCATGAGAGTGCCCTTGAAGCAAAAGACAGGCTTCTAAAAGCATGACTGTTTGTCCTCACTCATCTGATTCACTGGATCTCACACTTTGCAATTTGTGGCTGCTCCCCAAAGTCAAAATGACCATCAAAGGGAAATGTTTTGAATCAACCAAGGACACTGAGGCAGCCACAACACCACAACTAATGACATGAAAGAATTTCTAGAACTATTTCAGAGAGTTGCAAGAATGAACAGAGAAGTGTGTTCACAGTGAGTAGGAGTATTTTGAGGGGGTTTAATGGCAATGTTTGTTTTACTGTAATATTTTTTTAAGTTAAACATTTGCTGTGTTTTCCAATCACATCTCTTATATGCTACCTTGTTGTCAGTTACTTGTAGCCTTTCAGTTACCAGACTGACTTGCACTATCTCAACAGCTTGTGTTTGTGTTCAGGTAATCTTTATTTTGTTTAACACTGGCCCCAAATTGACTCTGGCAAGTCGGGTGTGCTAAAGACAAGCTGTTCAGTACTTCAAGTGTAAAGGTGAAAATGCTTGGCTTAATAAGAAAACAATTGCTGAAAACATAGTTGCTAACATCTAGAGTAAGAATAAATCTTCCATCCTTGAAATTGTGAAGAAAGAAAAAGAAATTTTGCCAGTTTTGCTTCACATTTCAAACTTCAAAGATTATGGCTACAATGTGCTGTTCTCAGTTAATATAACAAAGGCAGTGAATTTGTTAGTGGAAGGCATGAACAGAAAATACATTATAATTGTTGTATTTTATCATTAGTTATATTTTTGCTGATCTCTTATGTTTATTTTATAAATTTAATTTTATACAAGATATCTATGCTTAGAAAAAAGTAGTTTATGTAGAGTTTGTTACTATCTGTGGTCTTATACATCCACCAGTGGTCTTGGTATGTATCCCTTGTAGATAAAGGAAGACTGTTGCATAGTTAGGCAAACAATCATCCCATGTGGAATGGAATTGGGAGCTGCCATGGTACAGAGGAGGCTCCACAGTAGAAGGGATGAGGAGAGTCAAGAAAAAACACAAAGCTAAATGGCCAAAAATAGGTTTGTTTTTGTATATTTTCCTTAACTTCTGCAAATAGCTCCTCTCACAAAAGTCATTTTGGAAACTTATGTTTTAAAATTCATAAATACAGCAGTGATTCTAGCTATCTTCACTTAAAGAGGATAATTTGTCATCCAGTCAAGAGTGCATGTGTCTGCCAGAAAGCTGTGAGCCAACATACATCATACTCAGTAGCTTCAAGGATTTGGTGTGCCTTTGTGTGCACGTTTGAATATAGAGTTCATTTCAATCTGACATATTTACCTCTTTTCATATTTTTCTTCTAATTAAGTTCCATAAATGTATCCTCTACCCAGTTTGAGCTACAACAAATTTCTTTCTTGAACTGGCCTTCTGAAAGTAACAAACCAACATGATGATGAATTGGGAAATGAATAATTTTCCTTCTACTGTGTTTATTTTGAGCAGAAAAATATTTTTAAAAATGAAACAATGTTTTGCTAGAAAGAAGACCTTGTTCATAGTGGTTACAAGGCTGTGCAATGAACACTTACATCAGCCAATGTTCAAAAATATATAGTCCAACCCAAAGAAATAATATTTCATTTCATAATTTGGGGACTTGATGGTATTGATGGAGGGTATAGATAACAAGAAAAGTTGTGCGTTTGTGTAAGCCCTGCAGTTATGTAGGTATGGACTCAAGCCATGATTTCTTAGGGACATTGATTTCCTAAAGTCTGAATTACAGAAGAAAATAACAAGACCCTTCATAAAGTGGTGTTTGGGAGAGATGAATGTGTGAGTGCAATTTTTAAAATCATCTTTTTTCATTGCACTATTGAGGCAAGTAAATGTGTTTTCAGTGGAGATGGCCAAACCAAAATTAAACAATTTCTTGCTAATATTTAGGCTGGTATTTTAATAGGTACTTAACACTGGAGAAATTTGTCCCCATTATATTGTAAGGCATAGATGAAACTCTATATAAATAAGATTAAGGCATTGCTATAGATAAAATATCACACATTAACCTTCTAGACTCTTGAATTTAGAATAGTTTAACTACAATATTTAAATAGCTACAATGATCAGTCTGTTCAAACCATATTGCTTAATGTGTTAATTGTTAATTTTACATACTTCTTTTTCATTTCCCTCTATGCCTGTATAGAGGAGGAATTGCCTTATGCCTCTTGAATTCATTACCGTAATTTGTGTACTGTGCATTGACTGAAGCCAGTTTAAGTGGTGTATTAGCACAGAATTGGATCTTCTTTGCTTTGTGTAGATAGTGGGCCATGGAGTTAATGTTTCATTTATAGTATTTATTCTAAAACTGTGCTAATGTGGTTGTGATTCATGATCTTTTCCTGCATAGTGCCTGATTTAAGACAAACTATAGTCTGAAGAGAATTTTGATTTTCTATGTAAGTATGATCACTGGTCCAAATATCTTAACACAAAAATATGTTGGTATAACTTTTCTTCCCTAAAAGAAAAACCAGAAGTACTGTTTTAAAACCAGAATTAGACATGCACAATCACCTAAACCAATTTCTTTGTTTTGCAATTGAGGAATCTGAGATCCAGTGAAGTTCATTAGATTAATGAGGATCACAAAAGCTGTTATTTTTAAAGCTAGAGCTGGGACGTAGAACGTACTTCCTCTGACTTCCGAGCTAGCATTCTATGGGATAATCACTGTCATTTTGTTCATTCACACCCTGGAGCCATTTGCTCTTTTACGTCCCTAACATCCGTTCTCTGTCCCTGTGCAGTGTCATCATGCACCCCTGCAAACACTCTCTGATCTCCTGTGGGGAGGATCACCTCTGGAAAGTAGTGGGCCTCCCAAAAGGCCAGGTACTTCTCATGGGATATGGCCACACTGACTGGCTGTCTGACTGTTGCTTCGATCCCAGGTCAGTGCACAAAACCCCCAGACCCGATCGAATTCCTTGAGGGAATGAATTTATTTGCTTTTTCCTCACTTTGCTGGCTTCGATGACTGCTTCTCTCTCTGCAGCAGCACACTCTCCACTGCATTTAGAAACATGTAGATAAATGTGCATTTGACTTTCATTATATTGATTTTAGATTGACTGCTTTTGATATTTGGTACGGGTAAAATTTAGTCCACATGCTGATGCATTTAACAAGAGTAATAAGCTTCTTAGGACAAGCATTATTAATACTGCTTTTGCTCTCAAGCGTTGAGAAGGCACATGGATTTCTAGTCAATAATGTGTGCCAGTGTTACTTTGCTTCTGCTAATCTTGCAGGTTTTCCTTTGGGAATTAAGTCATATACTGAAAAGGATCAGAAGGCAGTGATCAATTTTTAAAAATTCAGTGACACTCAAGATATTCAAAAAGATAAAGCAGTTCTGGAAACATTAAGCTCTGTGATTTTTGAAGTTCACTGAAATTTTGTACTGAAAAGGCCAAGGGCACAGAAGGAAAGACATTGTTAAACACACTACTTCTATGGACAGAAAGTTCTGACACAGCTCCTCGTGGTTAACTCCAAATCCCAATACTGACCATGTTCTGCTGTCCATCTTTCTCAACATTTTATTTTTTTGGTACGGGGGATCGAACTTGGGACCTTGTGTTTGCAAGGCAGGCGACGGAACCAGTGAGCTAAATCACTGGCCCATTTTCTTAACATTTTTAAACATTCTTGGATCTGTCTTGTCCTTATACTGCCTGGCACAATGACTTTTGGAGACCTGAAGTCTTTGGTGCAGTTTCTAAACTATTCATTCTGTTTGGGAATTTTGTTGTTAGGAAGGCTTCTTACTGATTCATTTCAGTGATTACACTTGATTTCTTTTTCTTTACCCATCTTTCTCCTTGGTATGAATATCAATGAAATTAGATTAAAAATAAACTTATTGAGAAATTAATAAGTTTTAATAAGACTGAACTGTCTGTTCTTTAATTGTAATTTTAAAAAATCTTTCCAAAGTGTAGTTTATCCTTAGTACTAGATATTTGAACTCAACTTATGAACATATAGTGCTCCTTATCTGGTACACAGAGCTGTGCCACCTGCTCACTTCTGAGAAGCATGGAGCTAGTCCTGCAAACAGAGATGATACAATTAGAAGTGCAGCCTGTCGCTTCTGTAGCTACTGGGCATAGTAATCAGATTTGATAATGCTTTGTTACCATGACAGCAAGTGACTCAGAGATTTTCTCATTAGTGCTTGACCAGCAATGGTCCTTTTAATAGATCTTCCTGTTTCCCCACTCAATTACTGAAATTAAAGTGAGGTGAGATACACCATTATTCACTCATAATATGGGTTTACATTCAGTGTTTGCTTATAGCAGAATTATAGTAAAATGCTTCTGCACTGTTAGATTATTTTTCAATACATGAGAAAAATGCAGTGGGGGAAACACACTTAAAGATCAGCATATTTCAGTGAAAAATATTGAATGGCAAATATTTTTTATGTGGAATTACTGAAGAACCAAAGAGATTATTGGGAAAAACAGCACAAAGGCTCTTTTTATTTATTAGAGATAAATTCTGAGTTTATATCTCAGACCTCAACATTATGTAAAAAGGCTTAATGTATATAAATCAGTAATGAACAAATAAGTATATAAAAAAGGAAAAGGATCACCTCAACACTGTATAAAACTTAACATACATAAATCAGCCATGAAGAATCTAAGTATATAAAGAAGGAAGGCGATCAAGACATGGAGGAGGGGTAGAAAGGCAGGGAAAGGGAATGAAAAAAGGAATTAAGATGTATTATGCACATGTACTAACTCCCCACAAGGAATGTAAATACTATCCACTATACAATGTACTAATAAATGACAAATAAATTAAAATATATATATATTCGTATATAATGTTAATGTTTAAAAGTTGTTGAAATTTGTGCTTTCTAAAATTTAAATCAGTGACATTTGATTTTTACTCTGGCTTATGTAACATAATTAGTAAATAATAATTCATTGTTAAAGATAATGTATCTATCTTCATGTATGGTTTAAAAAGCAAGATAAATTTAATTTAAATATGATACTTTAATTAGAATTTAATAAGTATTGATCAAAGAGGAACTATATACTCATAGTACCTAGTTGGTAAATAACCACAACCACAATCCTTACACAAAAGTATCCATGACTGGATAAAGAAAATGTGTTGTTTTTATAGTTTTTTTTTTA